GGCATAGGCACGGGGAGAAACATGATCGACCCACGAACCCGGAAAGGAATATAGAACTGCAACACATGGCAGCGTTTTCAAAGACACCTGATTGGGTGACGGGCAAATGCAATGCTGAGTGTATCGATCTTGATGTACCCTGCCGAGGGCTGTGCTGTGCTGCGCCGTGCTGAATTGCGATGTGCCATGCCGCGGTTGTGCTCTATAGCGTCGTGGATCGAGTCCTCCTTTGCATCTGAGTCCTGACCGAACTGATATGGATCTTAAGCTCGAGCTGCCTGAACACATAGTAGCTGCCCCAGAGCTAATGGACAGGGGAACATGCCAGGAGGACGCGCCGCGAAACGTCCCAAGGGATGCGCCAGGCGACGTGCCAGGGGACGCGCCATGGGGTCGCACCGTAGGACGTGCCAAAGGGACGCGCTACGGAACGTGCCAATGGATGTGCCACGGAATGTGCCAGGGGACGCGCCACGCGACGTGCCAGGGGGACTCGCCAAGGGACGCCCCACGGAACGTGCCAAGGAACGTGCCAAGTTGCAATGCTGAGTGTATCGATCTTGATGTACCCTGCCGAGGGCTGTGCTGTGCTGCGCCGTGCTGAATTGCGATGTGCCATGGCGCGACTGTGCTCTATAGCGTCGTGGATCGAGTCCTCCTTTGCATCCGAGTCCTGACCGAACTGATCTGGATCTTAAGCTCGAGCTGCCTGAACACATAGTAGCTGCCCCAGAGCTAATGGACAGGGGAACATGCCAGGAGGACGCGCCGCGAAACGTCCCAAGGGATCCCCATGCGTGCCAGGCGACGTGCAGGGGACGTACCCCGCAGGACGTGCCAAGGGGACGCGCTACGGAACGTGCCAATGGATGTGCCACGGGATGTGCCAGGGGACGCGCCACGCGACGTGCCAGGGGGACTCGCCAAGGGACGCCCCACGGAACGTGCCAAGGAACGTGCCAAGTTGCAATGCTGAGTGTATCGATCTTGATGTACCTGCCGAGGGCTGTGCTGTGCTGCACCGTGCTGAATTGCGATGTGCCATGCCGCGATTGTGCTCTATAGCGTCGTGGATCGAGTCCTCCTTTGCATCCGAGTCCTGACCGAACTGATCTGGATCTTAAGCTCGAGCTGCCTGAACACATAGTAGCTGCCCCAGAGCTAATTGACAGGGGAACATGCCAGGAGGACGCGCCGCGAAACGTCCCAAGGGATGCGCCAGGCGACGTGCCAGGGGACGTGCCATGGGGTCGCACCGCGGGACGTGCCAAGGGGACGCGCTACTGAACGTGCTGGGGAACAGCGTTTCGCTCGAGACATCCTATCAACATGATCGACCCACGAACCCGGAAAGGAATGTAGAACTGTAACACATGGCAGCGTTTTCAAAGACACCTGATTGGGTGACGGGCAAATGCAATACTGAAGGTATCGATCTTGATGTACCCTGCCGAGGGCTGTGCTGTGCTGCGCCGTGCTGAATTGCGATGTGCCATGGCGCGACTGTGCTCTATAGCCTCGTGGATCGAGTCCTCCTTTGCATCCGAGTCCTGACCGAACTGATCTGGATCTTAAGCTCGAGCTGCCTGAACACATAGTAGCTGCCCCAGAGCTAATGGACAGGGGAACATGCCAGGAGGACGCGCCGCGAAACGTCCCAAGGGATGCGCCAGGCGACGTGCCAGGGGACGTGCCATGGGGTCGCACCGCGGGACGTGCCAAGGGGACGCGCTACGGAACGTGCCAATGGATGTGCCACGGGATGTGCCAGGGGACGCGCCACGCGACGTGCCAGGGGGACTCGCCAAAGGACGCCCCACGGAACGTGCCAAGGAACGTGCCAAGTTGCAATGCTGAGTGCATCGACCTTGATGTACCGTGCCGAAATCAGTGCTGTGCTGCGCCGTGCTGAATTGCGATGTGCCATGGCGCGATTGTGCTCTATAGCCTCGTGGATCGAGTCCTCCTTTGCATCCGAGTCCTGACCGAACTGATCTGGATCTTAAGCTCGAGCTGCCTGAACACATAGTAGCTGCCCCAGAGCTAATGGACAGGGGAACATGCCAGGAGGACGCGACGCAGAACGTCTCAAGGGACGCGCCAAGCGACGTGCCAAGGGACGTGCCATGGGGACGCATCGCGGGACCTGCCAAGGGGACGCGCTACGGAACGTGCTGGGGACAAGCGTTTCGCTCGAGACATCCTGTCAAAATCATCTGAATTCCTACGCGCGGGACGCTGCACGCGCGAGACATCCTCGGAATTCCTGCGAGCGGGACGTGAAAACAAGCATTTCGCCTGAGACATCCTTTGAATTCTGGCCCCCCCACGAGGCCACCGCTCGAGACATCCTCCAATTTTGCAAAACCAGCGATTCGCTCGAGACATCCTCAACAAATTATGAAAAACAAGCGTTTCGCTCGAGACATCCTGTCAAAATCCCAAGAAATCCAAATACCCGCGCGCGGGACGCGGCACGCGCGAGACATCCTTGGAATTCCTGCGCGAGGGGCGCTTTTCCGTGTCGCGGTCGGCTCTGCAAAACCAGCGTGTCGCTCGAGAAAACCTCAACAAATTCTGAAAAACAAGCGTTTCGCTCGAGACATCCTCAAAAATAATTTCGCCGGCCCTACTCCGTGCGTGCCCGCTCGCTAAATTATTTCGCCGGCCCAAGTCGACGGGGGGCCGGGGGGTAAACCTACTAAAAGAGAACCCTGGGCCCGCGCCCTTTCCGGGAAAATCATCCGAATTCCTACGCGCGGGACGCGGCACGCGCGAGACATCCTCGGAATTCCTCCAGCGCGAGTGAAAACAAGCACATTTCGCCTGAGACATCCTCTGAATTCTGGCCCCCACGAGGCCCCCGCTCGAGACATCCCCCAATTTTGCAAAACCAGCGTTTCGCTCGAGACATCCTCAACAAATTATGAATTACACTACACCCGCGCTCCCAGGGCCACGGTCCCTCGTAAATTACGCTACGTCAGCGCTCCCAGGGCCACGATCCCTCGTAAGGGCTCCTGGGCCCTCCAGGAGCTTCTCCTGGGCCCTCCTTGGGCCCCCTGGTGCCTCTTGGAGCCTCCTGGGTCCTCCTGGGCCCTCCTGGGCTCTCCTGGGCCCTCCTGGGCTCTCCTGGGCTCTCCTGGAGCCTCCTGGGCCCTCCTGGGCGAAGTCAAGGTCCGAAAACACATGGGACTTGCCACATTTCTGAAATTCGGTGCCACCCCTCACGCAGGTCGGCGGGGTCAGGATCCGAAAACACAAGGGATTTGCCACATTTCTGGAATTCCGTGCCACCCCTCACGCAGATCGGCGGGGTCAGGGTCCAAAAACACAGGGGATTTGCCACATTTCTGGAATTCTGCGCCACCCCATCACGCAGATCGGCGGGGTCAGGGTCCAAAAACACAGGGGATTTGACACATTTCTGGTATTCAGTGCCACACCTCACGCAGATCGGCGGGGTCAGGGTCAAAAAACACAGGGGATTTCTGCGATTTCCGAACTTATGCAACTTCAAGAATCCAAAACTCCGTTCCCAGCGCCGTTCCGGAGGCCGCGGCACCTTGTTATTTATCGAGCGAACGCGTTTACCTTATTTTTTATCGTTTAAAGTCGATGTCGGAAAAAAGTGGACTTCACCTGTGAAATATCGAGGTTTCCTTAAAGGCAGTAAAATTCCAAGAGCACGATCTGCGTGAGGGGTGGCGAAAAATGGCCTTCGTCCTCACAATTGAAATCCGCCGGCCCCCTTCGACCTCGTAATTTATCGCACAAGAATTCCGCCGGCCCCCTTCAAGTCGAAACCGGGGGGTAAACCAACTAAAAGAGAACCCTGGGCCTAAGCCCTTTCCGGGAAAAGTGAGTGGAGGAGGACGAGGAGAATGAGGAGGAGGAAGAGGAGTACGAGGAGCATGAAGGATGTAAGAGTAAGAGGGAGGGGGGCAGAGGAGGAGAAGGAGGAGAAGCAGCAGCACCAGGGAGGTAGGGAGACGGAGGAGGAGGGAGGGAGGGAGGCAGACGGGGAGAAGGAGGGAGGGAGGGAGGGATGGGGAGGCGGCAGTCCGACGAGACAGTGAGCTTCGTTCGGAGCTACGGTGCATCTCGTAATGACGCCGACCGCTCTGAGCTCCTGAATCGGATCTGGCGGGATATCTCACACACCCTCCAACACGGGAACGCGGAGATGATCTTGAGCGCCCTGGGGTGGTAAGGGGCAGCTGGCTGCTTCCGCGGCTCCCACCACCAGCCGCCCCAGCACGACAACCGCCAGCAGCAGTAGCACCATCTCCAGCACGATTACCACCTTTCTCACTGCCGCGATTGCCACCACGGTCACCGGCACACCCACCACGATTACCACTCTCAACCCCACCGACCCCTGACGCCGACCACAACAACAACCGCCACTACTAGCGCCTGGGGCCCAGCACCTCGACGGCGGCAGCACCGCGACAATCACCACAACTGCCACAGCGCCGGCGGCCACCACTGCCACTCCGACTACTACGACTTCACCACCACGCCGCCTTCCACGGCCACCAGGACGTCATCCACGACCGACCCCGCCCAGCTTCGCCTCTTCCTCTTCCGCTCCTCCCCCTACCGCCCCTGCCAGGCCGCCCCTGCATGCCTTTCTCCAAGCATACTTCGATTAATTGCATTACGCTTTTCATGGCTAGGGGCCCAAGACCATAACCCCAACGCCCGGGGGTCCCCCTTGGTGACGAGTGGAAACCCACTCGGTTGCCGGGAGGGAGGGAGGGAAGGAGAGAGGGAGGGAGGGAGGGGAGGGGGGAAGGGTGGTGGGGAGGAGGGAGGGAGGGAGGGAGGGAGGGAGGGGGAGGGAGAAGAGGAGGAGGAGGAGGACGACGTGGAGAAAGAGGAGGAGGAGGGAAGGAGAGGGAGGAGGAGGAGGCGAGGAGGAGGAGGACGAGGAAGCGGAGGAGGAGGCGGAGGAGGAGGAGGACGACGACGACGAGAGGGTCTGGCCGCCCCGCCTCCGAGTCCGCCGCCGCGGCCGCCGCCGGGACGGCGGCCACCGCCGCCGCGGCCGCCGCGGGCGTGGCCTGCTCGTCAACCGGCGGCGACGGCGATGGCCACCACGACGACGACGACGGCGACGGCGACGGCGGCTCCGGCGGCGACGACGACGGCGACGGCGACGGCGGCAGCGAACGCGGCGGACCGAAGAACGGGCGGCCACGCTCCCTGGCGGGCCCTCACCGCCTGGCCTCGCCATGTGGCGCGCGCGCCACGGCGCGGGCGGGGAGGGCAAGGAGGAGGAAGAAGATGAGGACAAGAGCAAGCCCAAGATGCATCAGCGATGCTGCACTACACCCTCTGTGAAGATGCAACTTCTGAGATAGGCGCTGATGTTTTCCGTGTGTCGCCTGAGACTCAAGGGCCCTGGGAACCGCAACGTTTACGGATAAGAAACAAGTGAGACGAGGGGCACACGCTGGGCTATCCAGCACTCTCGTTTTCACACTGGTTCTAAAATTCTGTTGCCCCTTATCGATCAAGAAGCACAAGCACGGAGTGCACGGCAGCGTGCTAAAAATCAAAACTCCCAGGTCCCGCAGCGGGCGAAATCCACCGTCTCACAAACAACAGACAACAGTGCAAACAGTTTGCCAAGGACAAATAAGCAGGCAGCCGATGGGCTGCGTAATATGGAAAAGGCATAGTATGCTCACGTTATCAATATCTCTCCACTTGCAGAAATACATCAAACCATGTACTCCCAATCGGTCGCCCACGCACTCAGAATCGCACTCGAGTCGTGGTCGCTCTTAGGCGGGGTGTCTTGATGATACATGAGAACTCCATCCATCGACTTCCTGATCTGCGATCCATCCATTCGTTTAGTTAGCGCATCGGCTAGCATATATTTAGTAGGACACCAAGCCAAAGGCAACTTGGATTTAGTAGCTGCGGCCACTTCTTCCACGATCTCGTCCTCCATGAATTCTCGTAGTCCGATCAAATCCAAAACCAATCTACGCTCAGCTGGAAGTTGAACAGCTCCTTCTCGGTGATTTGTATCATACAAAGAAGCACAGTCCGTCACACACTGAATCGGGCATAGGGTAGGATCGATGCTGTCGATACGCATCTTCGGAAATAAAATATTAAGAACTGAAGCACGCATAACATTAGCTGCTCCCATAGCATCCACTGCACTCATAGTCTCTGCTGCAAAGGTGCTTCGGCATACCATGCGAATCGTAGCTGACCTCCAGTCAACCAAAGCTGCCTTGCCTTCTCCGTCCTGGATGATTCTCCTTTCGGCCACGAATAATAGAAATCCCGCCCGGCTCTTAGCCTTGAGCCTCTTCGGGGCCTCCGAATCGTAGGCGGTGCGTATGCGGCGTCGGCGCCACCGGGCGGCGCCGGCTACCTCGTCGTCTGGCTCGTCCACGTTGGCCCACGCAGCGTCATGAAACACTAGAATGCAGAGCTCGTCCTGCAACTTCGGGATTGCGATGGCGGTCTCATTGTAGCGCTTGGCCTCGGATACAATGCGATGCGTCTCGATAGGTCGGCCACCGTCGGCGAGTTCTGTACTCTCTGAGCCATCGAAACTCCTGCGGCTAGGTCTGGTCGGGTCTGCGTAGCGAGCCACCCCAAACTGCCAATCAAGCTCCGGTTCTCGGCGATCTCGATCTGCGTGGCAGGGCATCCTAGATCTCGTTTGCGCTCCTTGGTCAACTCGAGCGGTTCTAGCTTCTCGGCGAATACTGACTGGCTCATTCGAATCGCTCCGTCTGGACGCTGGACAACATCCTTAGCGCAAAAGGTGAAATCTAGCCCTTGCCAACCTCCGAACGGAAACAACTTCTTGATTAGGTCATAGCTGGCTTGAGTACAAGAAGCGATCAGTAAATCATCCACGCGAACACAGACAATAGCTTGCAGAGTCTGAACCATGTCCCACGAATAAAGCTGGATCCACCAAGCTTTGAACTAAGTGGAACTTGTGGCCATCCTTGCTCACGAGCTCAACCTTCAGCAGTGCGTTCTTGAGAGTAGCCCACCACTGTCGTGGGGCGGTCGCCAGTCCAAAAACATGATGGACCCACGAACCCGGAAAGGGATATAGACATGTGGAGCATGGACACGTTTTCATGATACCCAACTGGGCAACACCTCACGAAACATCCCACGAAACACCTCACGAAACAGCCCACGAGACACCTCACGAAACATTACCACGAGACACGCCTCACGAAACATTCCACGAGACGGAAAGGGATATAGACATTTGGAGCATGGACACGTTTTCATGATACCCAACTGGGCAACACCTCACGAAACATCCCACGAGACACCTCACGAAACAGCCCACGAGACACCTCACGAAACATTCCACGAGACACCTCACGAAACATTTCACGAGACACCCCGCGAAACAGTCCACGAGACACCCCACGAAACATTCCACGACGACAGGCAACCACTCCACCAAGGCGGTGTGGTCGTGCTGGGGAGTGGTCGTGCTGGGGTGTGGTCGTGCTGGGGGGTGGTCGTGCTGGGGCGTGGTCGTGCTGGGGGGGGGGTCGTGCTGGGGGGTGGTCGTGCTGGGGCGTGGTCGTGCTGGGGCGTGGTCGTGCTGGGGCGTGGTCGTGCTGGGGCGTGGTCGTGCTGGGGCGTGGTCGTGCTGGGGTTTGGTCGTGCTGTGGTAAGGTCGTGCTGGGGTGCGGTCGTGCTGGGGTGTGGTCTTGCTGGGGTGGGGTCGTGCTGGGGTGTGATCGTGCTGGGGTGGGGTCGTGCTGGGGTGTGGTCGTGCTGGGGTGTGGTCGTGCTAGGGTGGGGTCGTGCTGGGGTGGGGTCGTGCTGGGGAGTGGTCGTGCTGGGGTGTGGTCGTGCTGGGGTGTGGTCATGCTGGGGCGTGGTCGTGCTGGGGTGGGGTCGTGCTGGGGTGGGGTCGTGCTGGGGTGGGTCGTGCTGGGGTGTCCGCACCCTGTGATTTATCGATCGGGTCGTGCTGGGGTGTGGTCGTGCTGGGGTGGTGGTCGTGCTGGGGTGTGTCGTGCTGGGGTGTGGTCGTGCTGGGGTGTGGTCGTGCTGGGGAGTGGTCGTGCTGGGGTGTGGTCGTGCTGGGGGGTGTCGTGCTGGGGGGTGGTCGTGCTGGGGGGTGGTCGTGCTGGGGGGTGGTCGTGCTGGGGCGTGGTCGTGCTGGGGCGTGGTCGTGCTGGGGCGTGGTCGTGCTGGGGTGTGGTCGTGCTGTGGTGAGGTCGTGCTGGGGTGTGGTCGTGCTGGGGTGTGGTCTTGCTGGGGTAGGGTCGTGCTGGGGTCGGGTCGTGCTGGGGTGTGGTCGTGCTGGGGTATGGTCGTGCTGGGGTATGGTCGTGTGGGGTCGTGCTGGGGTGGGGTCGTGCTGGGGTCTGGTCGTGCTGGGGTGTGGTCGTGCTGGGGTATGGTCGTGCTAGGGTGGGGTCGTGCATTTCGCTCGAGACATCCTGCCAAAATTCCAGGAAATCGTACAAAAACAAACGAATTAGTCGAAACATCATCGAAATTCCTTCGCGCGGGGCGCTTTTCCGCGTCGCGGTCGGCTCTGCAAAACAAGCGTTTCGCTCGAGACATCCTCGGCAAACTCTGCGGAGCAAGCGTTTCGCTCGAGACATCCTCAACGCACGAAAAAGTGGCCCGCACCCTGTGATTTATCGATCGGGATTTCAAAAACAAGCGTTTCGCTCGAGACATCCTCAAATTTTAATTCGCCGGCCTCCTTCGACCTCGTTATTTATCAGGGAAAAAATTCGCCGGCCTCCCTCAAGTTGGCACCGGGGGACAGGTTTACCTACTAAAAGAGAACCCTGGGCCGGAGCCCTTTCCGGGAAAAACCTTGACGATACGTAATACTTGTCCTGGTTGATGTCCCGGTAGACCTTGGGGCGGCTGTTCCATGAAAAGAGGCTTGTCTCTGGGCTGCTCTTCTCCCTGCATGAACGCGGACACGACGTCGGCACACACTGGGCTCCAGTCGAAACGTGCCGCCAGGAAAAAAATTATTATTAAAAAAAAAAAAAAAAAAAAAAAAAAAAAAAAAAAAAGTGGCGAACTGGTTCGCGTCACCGTAGGAGCGTCTGTCCGTAGAGCTCCTGTCTGTAGATCTGGATCACGATGTCCTCCAGCACATAGTCGAGCCTTGGCCTTCACCGGCACGGGGTTGGCTTCCGCGCGGATATTGGCATTCTTGTCACGGAGCACGAAGCGAGACAACAAGAAGCGGTTGCTGTCATTCTCGGCCCAGGCCTGTTGAGATTCCTCCAGCGAAAGCGCCTCCACGGAACCAAACTTCTTCCATTCCTCCCAGTGCTCGGCGATGGCCTTTCGGTAGAGTGACTTGTGTTCCTCCGGGATGTCCTTCCAAGCAATCTCTTTGTCTTGAAGCTTATTTCTTAGCCTCTCGCTCTGAGCTCGAGCTCCACGAAGCATTACTGCGAAGCTGGAGTTGGTGGTAGTATCCTGGTCGCTGTCATCGGCGATGCTGACGACGTAAGGCTGCCCCGCTTGTCGAGCGGCTTGTCGCCCAGCGATGCGGTGGGCAGCTTCTTCTTGTTGTGGACTCCCTCGGATGCAATGCGGTGCGTCATCGAGGGGGCTGTAAACTGCTCGGCGTCGCTGAAACTCCTCGCGGTTCCAGTCGTCGTAGTCGGGTACAGGGTTGTTCTGTACTTGTCACGGCTCAGGCGCTGAAGCTGGTCGAGGGCCTCTCCATGCTGATCGTCTATTCCCGGCCACCAGACTTCTTCAGTAGTAACTGGTCGAATGTGTCCTGGAGCTACGAGCTTGGTGAAACCACCGTGCGATATCCAATAGTTCTGGCCTTGTTTCCCCACGATCACGGATGGTCCCAACCAGGTGCCCTTCTTGATCGAGCCCTTCTTGAGCTGGCGGTAATAGAAACAAAGATCACCTTGCTCAAGCGGATGGGGGTGCACGCGAGCACGGCCCAGTAGCGCCTTGCGTAGCGCACTATCGTTCTGCATTTCCATGAAAGCCTCGCGGGCGGCGGTCCGCATCTTCAGCTGTCGTTCCATCGGTTGTAGTTCGGCTCCTGCATGTGCTGCGTCATGGTGAGCTCCGCCCACTAGATCAGCTGGTAGTCGCGCGCTCTTGCCGAAAACCCACTGTTCTGGACTGAAACCACATTGACGTCGTAGCGCATTCTTGGCCCCCGTGACCACGGAAGCGATGATGCGCATGTCGGACTCACCTGAGGCCGAGGTGTGCGAAATGGTCCTCTCGGCCAACTCCTTCCACCAGCCTCCTCGGCGTTCAGTCCGTCCGCGTTGCCACGCTGCCTGGCCGGCCACT